GTTATTCTTTTCCGTCGCCTGTAAAGGGAGCGCCTGTCTCTTTCTATTTTACATCTACTCCTCCTTTTTCTTAGAGGAATAAGCCTTGTGCATACATCGAGTGCCACCGAGTTAATCTGTTCTAGGCATAAGTTTGGGTCTGTGTTGCTTAGTATATCTTCCCAGCTTATATCGGTTAGGGACTTGGTTTACTTGGTCCCACTTTATGTTTTTGTTATTGAAGTTGAATTTGGTGAATGCTCCCTCGTGACTAGTCTCATTTTGTCGGTCTGGGGCTCCACGCATACATGTCTGAACCTCAATTATGTTGTGATCTGAGTATATTGTTTTTGATATGGTGACATTTCTTATCAGATCATCATTGTTAGTGAAGATGAGGTCTAGTGTATTCTCCAGTCTAGTAGGCTCTATTATTTGCTGGTTTAAATTGAATTTTGTGCAGAGAATTTAAAAGCTCGTGTGAGTGTGAGTTTTCATCAGAGCTGCCTCCTGGTGTTATTACTGCAACAATATTATTTGCTATATTCCTCCATTTTAGGTGCCTTAAGTTGAAATCCCCCAGGAGCAAGATGTTGGGTGCAGGAGCTGGAAGATTTTCCAGACAGTGGTCAATTTTTAACAGCTGTTCCTGGAATTGCTGGGGATGTTGCATCCGGAGGCTTGTAGACTACCACAATGACTAGGTTTTGGTTCTCGACCTTTACTGCTAAAACTTCCACTACGTCATTTGAGGCATTAAGGCAGTTCTGTGCAAACAAGTGACTCTGCAATGTACAGGCCAACCCCCCCCCTTTTGCCTGTTCACTCTGTCACATCTGTATAGGTTGTAACCTGGGATCCATATTTCGTTGTCCAAGTGATCCTTTATGTGGGTCTCAGTGAAAGCCGCGAACATTGCCTTTGCCTCTGCAAGCAGTCCACGGATGAAAGGTATTTTGTTGTTTGTTGCTGGCTTTAGACCCTGTATATTTGCAAAGAAGAATGTTATCGGACTGGTGGTATTGTTGGTACTGGGGGGGGATTTTTTTTCCGGCATTAGTATCTGTATCTGTTGGTTTGGAGTGGAGGCCATCGACTGTGGTTCCACTCCAGGAATGACTGGATTTGGTGTACGATTTCTGCCATTTCCTACATAATATATTGTGGTTGACAGTATCGAAGACCTTTTGCAGGTCTAAGGTTACCATACCTATGAGGTTCCCCTTTGACATTTCAGTTCTCAGGTAATCCATCAGATTAATAAGGGAGGTGTCGGTTGAGTAGGTTCTTCTAAAGCCCGATTGATAGCTATGGAGAATGTTGTTGTCATTAAGGTACTTAACTACTTGAGAGTACACCGCCCTCTCTAGAATTTTAGATATACTGAGTATACTAACAGGCCTATAGTTGCTTACATCAGACCTACTATTTTTCTTGAAGATAGGAGTAACTCTGGCCTCCTTGAACCCCTCCGGTACGGTATTAGTGGTGATTGATAGATTTATTATGTGAGCAACAGGGATTGACAGTTCAGAAGCACCATCTTTTAGGAACTTAGACGGGATGTTATCCGGGCCAGTGCTCTTAGTTGGGTTTAACCTGCTTAGTTCTTTTTGAGTAAAGTCATGAGATACACTTACTAGTTGACAACTGTTTGGGGTTACTCCTTTATTGGTATAGTATGTTTGAAACTTATCAGAGTCTGTGTTAAAGGTATTTGATGCAGCTGGTAGTTTACTTACTAGTGTTGATGCAACAGATGTGTAGTAGGAATTAAAGCAATTTGCCACCTTAGATGTTTCGTGGCGTACCTCATTATCGATAGTGAGTACTACGTTAGACCTATCTACTGGCTTATGGCTATACCCCAACTGTTTTAGTTGTTGCCAGAGATTTCTGGGGTTATGCTTATACTCTTCAATTTTTGAACAATAGTGCTTTGCCTTTGCTCCTTTTATAAGTCTCTGTACTCTGTTCCTCACCCTTTGGAATTCATTTAGTGCTGCAATATCCTGTTTGTTTGCTTTAAATCTTTTTAGCAGCTGGTCTCTGAATTTCATATTATCTAATATCTCAGTATTCTTCCAGGGCTCAGTTCTTCGTTTAATCCTAACCTCTTTAACTGGAGCAATATTATCAAGAATGGTAGTGAACATTGTTTTGAATTTTTCCCAGGCATCGTTTACGTCCGTGCAACTTGTTATCTCTGTCCAGTCACAATTGTGTAAGCCTATTTACCAGTGTTTCTTTAACTGTAGTTTCTAGTTGACCTCATTTTTAATTGTCCTGTGTAGGCCTATCCTATCCCTAGTGATTTTCCTGGTGCAGTAAATGATGAAATGATCACTAAGACTTGTGGTAATGACGCCAGACTGACTAATGTTCTTAGCGCGGTTACAAAGTATGTGGTCAATTAGGGTGGCTGAGAACTGTGTGATCCGGGTTGGTGTATTAATTAGTTGAGTGTAACTATTTAATCCTAGAATTTGCTTATACCTTTTGCATAGCACGTTATTTTGCTGCTGAAAACAGATATTGAAGTCTCCCAGTATTATTGTCTCGCAATTGTTTTCAAGTCCGGACAATACTCTGGAAAAGTCTTCTAAGAACTGGTCCTGGGTAGGAGGGCGGTAATTAGTTCCTACTAAGATGGGTTTGGTCTTGGGAAGCAGCACTTCAAACCTTAGAATCTCCAGTTTATTGTTATTTAAATCAGGTCTTGGGTTGTAAGCTAAGTCATTTCTAATGTAGGCACATACTCCACCACCCTTTCTGTTCCTATCTAAGCGTTTTATATTGTAACCTTCTATTTTGACCTCGTCGTCAGTCACCGTATCGTCCAACCAAGATTCAGAGATGGTTATAACTGCCGCCCTAATTTTGTTAGCTAGAATCCTAATCTCTGCCAATTTAGGAAGAAGTGATCTTGTGTTGACATGAATAAAGTGAAGGCCTGTTTTCATAAAACAATTATAATCATCAATATATGGCAATGGGTCATTAGCCTGGTTGATCAGGCTCTGATCCACCAGGAGGCCTGGTCACAGACCGGGCCGCGGGGGCGTTGACCCCCGGAACTCTCTCCAGGTAAAACTCCAGGTAAGAGCGCTACAATAAGAGCTGTGTGCCACTGTTTTTGTTTGGGTATGCGGTGTTGCCATACCTTACGGCGATAGTGATATTTACTTTTCTGGTAGGATGGCAACTGCTGGGCTTTTACTGTCCAGGGCGCTGTTATTCCATTCACCTTTTCCAGCCCCCATGACTGATTTCTTTCTTCATGGAATTGAAGAAGAAAGATAAATATAATTATGTCACTCTGTCTGACTTTTTTGGGTTATCCTAGGTTCTCTACACACATGCTGCTATGTATGATAATTCTATGTAACTGTATTTGTGTATACCTGAATAAACTTACTTACTTACTTACTTACTTAGCCTGTACCCCCCTAATGCCTGCCATTTTCACTCTTCTCTCTTTTACTCATATACAATAATATTTATTTCTCTTTTCCAGTCCCTAGTACACTTAGTATCTGCTTTAGCAATCACCACTGAATTACTAGTAAATTTTCTTCTTCAAAACCCTCTTCACTGCTCACTTTTCCCTTAACTTCACAAACCCCTTACAGTTAACCCCTTATTACACACTCCCTGGGGTGGAAGGAACGCGAGTATTTATAGTCCGGTTCAGAATGCTGAGGTCAGGTGAAGAATGCTGCATCTGATGATGTACCGAGTGGGGTTATAGAGTCTAAAAACTTGGGTAGCTTGGAAAGGAGATTGGATAAGTTTGTGAGCAGACCTTCTACAGTGTTCTTATGTGGGATAGCGATGAAGAAGTTTCTTGGCAAGTGGTTCAGCTATGTTATAGAAGCCACTATTCTGGTTGAAGTTGTCGGATATAGAAATAAGTGATGATTCCAGGATTCTTCGGTATTGAGTGTTGTCTTCTGTGGCGATAAGTCTTGAGTTTCTGCATTTGTGTTTATATTTCCATTGTGTCGGTATTTTATACCATTTATTTCCACAGTGTTGTGATATTTGAAAGTGAGATTCTCTGACATTATCACTCTTAGGTCCTTCACATTATTTTTTCGCTCTATTGTGTGGTTGGAATTTGTTTTTTACTCCGATGCAGTAAATGAATTTGTCTTCGCTGAACTTCATCTTGTTTTCTGCGGCCCATTTAAGGACTTGGTTAATGTCTACCTGAAGATTTGCAGTGTCAACGATGGATGACTTCTATACTACACGCTTTTATTGTGTGTAATAATATAATACTTGAGTTCTGACCATGACCTGAACGTCACAGTGTTATTATTATTATTATTATTATTATTATTATTATTATTATTATTATTATTAACAATATATTATATGGACTCGTGCACTTTGTTTTAGGCTAGACTGAATTATTAAAGGTCAGTTCCTTCACACTACGACCTTAACATTATTTTTTATTATAAGTTCCTCTCCTCTCTCTCTCTCTCTCTCTCTCTCTCTCTCTCTCTCTCTCTCTCTCTCTCTCTCTCCTCTCTCTCTCTCTCTCTCTCTCTCTCTCTCTCTCTCTCTCTCTCTCTCTCTCTCTCTTTTCCTCTCTCTCTCTCTCTCTCTCTCTCTCTCTCCTCTCTCTCTCTCTCTCTCTCTCTCTCTCTCCAAAAATATACATAAGTTATTGGAAGAATCTGAACCCGGTGGACACGTGCGAGCGGTCACGAATCTTCATCCACGACTACATTTAACATTGAGGAAAATAGACATTAACATTTCAACCTCATTATTATGTTAATAATTAATTGTGTTAATTTTTATATAAGTCTATTTTATGTTGAGGTTGGTAATCCTGCTACGGGGAACAGCTGATTTCTGACATTCGTAAATTCCTCAAAGTTAAAATTTCAAGGGAATTAAGATAAGAATATTTTACACCTGGTATATTTTCAGGTGCAAAAATATTGTTTATGTATGTGAAGATTGTGGACAGTGATAATAGCTAGGGAGGGGAGGATTTTATAACGGTATATTCAATATCGTTATCATCAGTGAATGTGACCAGACATAATATTTGTCCAGAGTAGAAGAGTGAAATCTGTGAGTTTTGTCGATAATGACGACCTTAATTCAGAAAGTTGGCAGACTAGCTGTGAAGACCTTCCGGCGAGAGCCCAAGCTGTCAGCAACAGCTTTCAATGCTCACTATGAACAGCTGTACAACCTCTTAAACACCGTTACCACCCAAGATCTTAACCTAGACCATCAACTCCTCTATGATCGAGGAACTTTCAATGTGAGAAAAATATATTCGAGTCATTAATTGCTCATATTTTACTCCTCTCGTTCTTATATTCAGCGAAGTTTGTAATTTATGTAAGAATTTAAATGTTTAATGATATATTACTTTGAATTTGGGGGGTTTAGTCTATATTAACCTTGACTTGTCAAAATTATTGTTATAGTAACTTATTCTGTATTTAAAATATATTTGTGGCCAGTTGAATATGCCATCTATTTTTTTTTTAGCAAAAGTTAACAATTGCAGTAGCCTAAATGAAGCCAAAGTTATTTATAAATGCAAAGTTTCAGTGGTACAGACTTTTCCTATAGAATCACAGTCATGTGACTGTTTCACCTCACACACACACACACACACACACACACACACACACACACACACACACACACACACACACACACACACACACACACACACACACACACACACACACACACACACACACACACACACACACACACACACACACACACACACACACACACACACACACACACACACACACACACACACACACACCAGAAGCTAGAGCACCAGGCGCATATAACAGGAAGGGCACTGCAATGGATCAGAGAATACCTGACAGGGAGGCAACAACGAGTCATGGTACGTAATGATGTATCACAGTGGGCACCTGTGATGAGCGGGGTCCCACAGGGGTCGGTCCTAGGACCAGTGCTATTTTTGGTATATGTGAACGACATGACGGAATGGTTAGACTCAGAAGTGTCCCTGTTTGCAGATGATGTGAAGTTAATGAGGAGAATTAAATCTGATGAGGACCAGGCAGGACTTCAAAGAGACCTGGACAGACTGGACACCTGGTCCAGCAAATGGCTTCTCGAATTTAATCCTGCCAAATGCAAAGTCATGAAGATGGGGGAGGGGCACAGAAGACCACAGACAGAGTATAGGCTAGGTGGCCAAAGACTGCAAACCTCACTCAAGGAGAAAGATCTTGGGGTGAGTATAACACCGAGCATGTCTCCGGAAGCACACATCAATCAGATAACTGCTGCAGCATATGGGCGCCTGGCAAACCTGAGAACAGCATTCCGATACCTTAGTAAGGAATCATTCAAGGCCCACTGTACAACCGTGTATGTCAGGCCCATACTGGAGTATGCAGCACCTGTTTGGAACCCGCACTTGATAAAGCACGTCAGAAACTAGAGAAAGTACAAAGGTTTGCGACAAGGTTAGTTCCAGAGCTAAGGGGAATGTCCTATGAGGAAAGATTAAGGGAAATTCGGCCTGACCACATGGAGGATAGGAGGGTCAGGGGAGCATGATAACGACATAAAAATACTGCGTGGAATAGACCAGGTGACAAAGACAGGATGTTCAGGTGAGGGACAATGAAACGAAGAGGCCACAATTGGAAGTTGAAGACACAAAGAGTCAGAGAGATAGTAGGAAGTAGTTTCTTCAGTCATAAGTTGAAGGCAGTGGAATAGCCTAGAAAAGAGTAAGTGGAGCAGGAACCAATAACAGTTTAAGACGAGTTTGATAAAGCTCAGAGCGGGGAGAAGAGGCACTGGGTAGCAACGGTGAAGAGGCGGGCCAGGACTGAGATCGACCCTTGCAACCACAAATAGGTGAGTACAATAGTGAGTACAACAACACACACACACATCACACACACACACACCCCACACACAACACACACACCACACACACACACGACACACACACCAGGGAGATAGGGGACATGATAAGCAACATAAAAATCGAGAGGAATTGACAAGGTGGACAAAGACAGGATGTTCCAGAGATTGGACCACAGTAATAAGGGGACACAGTTGGAAGCTGAGGAACACAGATGAATCACAGGGATGTTAGGAAGTATTTCTTCAGCCACAGAGTAGTCAGTAAGTGGAATAGTTTGGGAAGCGATGTAGTGGAGGCAGGATCCATACATAGCTTTAAAGAGAGAGGTGATACAGCTCAGGGGCTCAGAAGAGTGACCATGTAGCGATCGGTGAAGAGGCGGGCCAGAAAGCTCGGACTCGACCACACACAACCTCAACTAGGTGATACACACACACACACACCACACACACACACACACACACACACACACACACACACACACACACACACACACACACACACACACACACACACATGCACACATACACATAGTTATGTTTTAATTATTTATTTCATGAGAGAAGCACTAAATATGTAAGTGTTGTACTGCACCTCAAGGACCCCAGTAGAAATAAGTCACATTGACATTTACACTTTGTATGATAATTGTACTTGCGTGAACCCATGCCTAAATAAACTTAATTACCTCAAAGAATGGGAAGGAGTCAGTCATTTCAATAGAGGGCATCTCCAGTTCCATGAATCAAAGAGCCCATCACCTGCTTTTTTTTTTTCTTCCAGCAGTTATGGAGCATGATGAAGCATAAGAAGCCAGAACTTTCAAGGATTATGCCATGCAGATGCCATTAACATTCATTATATAATATTATGTAGTACAGTTGTAACTAATCCCTTATTATAGGTAGGTACCTCATTACTGACAAGGAGTTCTTGATCCAAGGAACTGGGCTTATCCTCCACTTCCTTGGCACTTTGTGGCCCTGTGGATTTAGGGCTTCCTCCTGTTAAAAATAAATGAATGTAACATGCCTATATATGAGGCCAGATGCAGAAATGCAAAAATTGACAAAGAGATTGAAGTTAAATTTGTGAATTTTGTTTCACATAGGCCTCCAGAGACATGGTAAAATGATGCCTTAGCTAAAATTAACAACAAACAAGGAGAATGTTCAATACAATTGTGATTTCTGAAACAGCTTATGACAACGTTTTGGTCCAAACTGGACCGACATGTCGTCAGATAGCAGCTAGCAGATCCATGTCCATTATAGTGAAATTTATGAGGGAAAACATGTTTTACTTGACACTTGATTAAGGCTACAAGTAATATCCCCTCAAGGGAGGTTCCTTGATGCTGGTGAGGAGATCTTGATCCCAGGAATTGGTCTTACTCTTCCTTTTCTTGGATCAGACTTGATTGCTGCCTACTCCCCAAGCATTCTATGACCCCTGTTAGTTTAGCACTTCCCCCAAATATAAAAATAAATGTCTTTGGCAGTTCAGTTTGTATCGAGATGTAAATCATATGAAATGTAAAGTGTATTCAGAAACAGACCTGTACACTAGAACATTACATCTTTGAATGTGAACACATTACAAATTAAAATATATCACTGGTTTTAGAATGCTTGTATAAGCATTATATTTTTTTTTTTCAACAAGTCGGCCGTCTCCCACCGAGGCAGGGTGACCCAAAAAGAAAGAAAATCCCAAAAAAGAAAATACTTTCATCATCATTCAACACTTTCACCTCACTCACACATAATCACTGTTTTTTTTGCAGAGGTGCTCAGAACACAACAGTTTAAAAGCATATACCTATAAAGATACACAACATATCCCTCCAAACTGCTAATAACTGCTAATATTTGTACATACTGTACTTATTATTATTGCAGTTGTAGTAGTAGTAGTAATGTACAGTATTATGCTTCTAATATACACAGTTTTAATTGGGGTCCACCTCTGGTGTAAATTGTGGGACCCATCGCCTCGGAGAAGTGGATAAAAAGGCTTCAAGGAAGAATATTTGGATTTCTTCCTGAAGCCGTTTGAATATTCCACTTCCCCTACCACCCCATATTTTCATTCTTTTTTACCAATAGGTATATTTTACTACATAATATGGAACATTTCACCTACACAGTAGGCTTCTTCAGTCGAAAACAGGGGATGGTAGCAGTAATGATGTACAATACCAACAGTACAATACCAACAAGATGATGAATGAGATCCATGTGTGACACCAAGGTATCTTTATTATGAAGGTTTTTCACCAGCCACTGGCTTTATCAGTTCAATAAAAAGGTATTTGAAGGTGTAAAGATGAGGTAATCAGTCCTTTAGCCTAGATGGTGTTCACCACCCTTGTCTTGACGAAACTGGAACACAGCCAGGAAGTTGGTCGTTTATATAAGAGTTAAATGAGGTGCAGCAGTAGAAGAAATTGTCACTGTGCATGGGCCCACTAGTGGAAGTAGGTCAGTTCATGTCTTTCCATAGCAGTAGGAAACAAACTGTTAAAGCAATATAAAATGAGAACCTTTGCTGAAATATGAACTCTTACAAGGAAGTATCATAGTCTCCCTACTATTCTTGTGCTGTGTGAATGATATGCTTACTAGAGCTTATTATTAGTTAGAATTACAATATACAGACAACATATTTTAAATGGTTAATAGGCAAAATATTTTCTTCACATCTCTGAGTAAACTGAAGCATTACTGCAGTAGTATTTGTATAAAAACATAAATATGACAGAGTTAATTCCCTGTCTCATGGTTTTTTCTGTGAAGAGAATATTAGAGTAAATTAACATTGACAGTGATGGAGGATATGATAAAGGAATACAGTATATGTTTTCCAAGAAATATGTTGGCCCGTTTTTGTACCATTGATGAACTTATGGTACGTACTGTCCTTGTGTTTCTGTTTATTCTCTCATCTATTTTACTTGTATAAATTGTGAGCAGCAATGGGCCCAAAATGACCCCTGCAAGTTGCAACTTGTATGATAATGCCAATTAATCACTACGCCCAAATTATGAAATTAATATTTCAAGCTCGTCCAGTAATCTTCTGAAGTACATGTAGTGGACATGGTCTGTGGATGCAGAAGACAACTTGACACTAAGATTATGGGTATTGTAACCTGTAGTATTACAGTACTGTATAGTAATTTTATAGTACTTACAGAATTTGCAGTAATTTTACTTGCCTTTCTGTAGTGGAAAGATGAGGTGTAAACTGCCATGATCGATAGTGGTAACTTAGAATAACTTTTATTCTGAGTCAAAGTAACTGTGAAGCTTCCCTTTATTTGTCTGTACCTGACAAACTTTGGAGTTAGCAGCCTTGGTTCATTACTTCAGAAGACAACTGGACAAAATTTGGATTTATGGTCTTTATCCATTTTATCTGATAATTAGAAGGTTTGTCAAGCCAGTTTTTGTCTGACATTGCCGAAATTCACTAATGAGAGGTTTTACTGTATAACCAATTAATGTAAAAAGCATTGATCTTACTTAAAAGCACATTTTGGTTGTGTCAGCTGGACAGTGGAAATAACATTGCCAGTTTGACTTGTTCTGTTTCAGGCTAGTAGAGATGGAGCACCAGTTACTTACATGCAGTTGTACGAGGACAGCGATGTTACAATTTGTGTGTTTATCCTGAAGCGAGGAGTGCGCTTACCACTTCATGATCACCCAGGAATGTATGGTCTCTTAAAGGTACATTATAACATTTATCAAAATTTGTGTATGTGCACGTGTGTGTGTGTTTGTGTGCATGTGCTGATAAAAATTCTAAATAATTTTCAGTTTAATATAATTGGAAATTATTGAGATTTTTATTTTCTTAATAGACTTCTGATTATGTCTTTATCATATTACTTAATATGTAGATAGGTTCAGAAAAATTTTTTCTTTTTTTTCAATTTGTAGTTAATTATGACATTGGCATCTCAGAGAAATTAAGCTATTTAACTTCCCCAGATTATTTAATACCTGTTAAGCAATAAGCATTCACCAGTATATTCAACATGGTTATTGAAAATAAAAAATATTGAAAAGTATCAGTATTGACCTAATATTGACTTACCAGTATTGTTACATCCATAATTATAATTATTATTATTATTATTATTATTATTATTATTATTATTATTATTATATTCTTAAGGAAAATGAGAGTACCAAATATGATTTCTTCCAAACAGAAAGTAATGCCAAAGTTTGAGTACCTTTTTTTTTTATTTATTTATTTTTTGTTTTTTGTTCAGAAATGATACTTGTTGGAATTTAACTAAAAGGCACCTGACACAGTGAAAGGGTTAACAAGTGAAACAACTTGTTTTAATCAAAAAAATTTATACTGTAAGTTTTTGTTAGGAAAATAACCATGCCTAATTTTCACAGGTGGTTTATGGAGCTGTATCAGTTCAGAGCTACAGTTTCATTGATACAGCTGTTGAAGGAAAACAGAGTGGACTGATGGGCAGTCGACCTCTCCCAGGTGTTTTTCCTGCAAATAAACACCAGCAGCTTAAAGTTTGTGCAAGTGATCCTGCTTGTCACCTTTGCCCTGGTGAGCAAAATATACATGAAATCTATTCTCTAGATGGACCAGCAGCATTTCTTGATGTACTGTCACCACCCTATGGACCTGACGAGCGCCTTGGTATGGAGCGTGATTGTCACTATTATCAGGAGATAGACAGTAGCTGGACAGCTCCACAGTTATCAGATGGCAATCGTGTTTTGCTTGTCAGCATACCTACACCTAGTGATTTTTGGTGTGATCAAACAGATTATCAGGGGCCCACAATCGGTGAGGATGGTGATGAACATGGTTCTTAAAGGATCATGTAGCCTTGAATACCTCATAAGTTTTATTCTTAGCATATTGACCAAATTGTTTGCAATTAACCATGAATGGGTTTAATTGTTTATATTGTAGAATTCATAGTCTTATTCTGAATGTTTGGATAGGGATTATGGATTTACCAAGACATTACTGCTACCATATGTCCATTACTTAGTGTTTGATGCAAGTGGATTTGCTATGATTTTTCATCTTTGTAAATATTGCGGCCTTCTGTGTTTATTCTTACACACTGAAATTATACTTGCTTAAAGCCACATGAACTGGGAGTGGGCAAACACAAAGAGATTTTATGTGCACACATAATTCACATGTTATCAGGTCTCTTATTACAGATATATTCTTTTGGTCATGAGTGTTGGGCTAATGAATAAGCCAGACAGTGATCACATAAATTTCAAAATATTATCTAAAGAAATAAATTGATTTGATATTGGTTAGTAATTTTAAAGAATGACACTACAGAGATCTTGGTAATACCATTAAAGCTAGTCAGCTAGGCAGTGTTTGTGTTGACTGAATTGATTGTGCATCCACACCAATGATTACATTCATGTTATCTTTTGTGGATTGTTCTTAAATGTATTCTTTTGACAAGTAATCTTTCCAGAATTAAATTGAAGTATGTACCTACTTTTGCCACTTATAACATGATTTTTGTTTCCTCTATATTTTTTTTTTTTTTTTTTTTTTTTTTTTTTTTACCATTTTTTTACTTTTCTGAATTGCAAGAATAGCAACTATTAAGTGTGAAAAGACAGAATTACTGTAATTTTTCAACACAATAAATAACTGTAGTTGTCATTATCTTTTGTGCAATATACTATTAAGTTTGCTATTACAGAATTAATACATGACCTAGAAGAATTCCCAAAGTCAGATTGACATTAATGCCTTCATTTATTATCACTTTTTCTAAGACATTACTGTATAAGATTTTCAATCTGCAGATTGTGAAATGTGAAACTTTCTTGTATATACAGTACTAATACTCTTTTTTTACCAAAGTTCAGATTGTCATATCCTTTACTGAAGGCAGTTCTTTCAATTCTTTGGCTAAATTTTTTTTTTTTTTTTTCAACAAGTCGGCCGTCTCCCACCGAGGCAGGGTAAATATTTAGGTAAATCATAGACAAATTATTATTAGAGTCAAAGTTTATTTTTATTTTTATTATCACACCGGCCGATTCCCACCAAGGCAGGGTGGCCCGAAAAAGAAAAACTTTCACCATCATTCACTCCATCACTGTCTTGCCAGAAGGGTGCTTTACACTACAGTTTTTAAACTGCAACATTAACACCCCTCCTTCAGAGTGCAGGCACTGTACTTCCCATCTCCAGGACTCAAGTCCGGCCTGCCGGTTTCCCTGAATCCCTTCATAAATGTTACTTTGCTCACACTCCAACAGCACGTCAAGTATTAAAAACCATTTGTCTCCATTCACTCCTATCAAACACGCTCAAGCATGCCTGCTGGAAGTCCAAGCCCCTCGCACACAAAACCTCCTTTAACCCCCTCCCTCCAACCCTTCCTAGGCCGACCCCTACCCCGCCTTCCTTCCACTACAGACTGATACACTCTTGAAGTCATTCTGTTTCGCTCCATCTCTCTACATGTCCGAACCACCTCAACAACCCTTCCTCAGCCCTCTGGACAACAGTTTTGGTAATCCCGCACCTCCTCCTAACTTCCAAACTACGAATTCTCTGCATTATATTCACACCACACATTGCCCTCAGACATGACATCTCCACTGCCTCCAGCCTTCTCCTCGCTGCAACATTCATCACCCACGCTTCACACCCATATAAGAGCGTTGGTAAAACTATACTCTCATACATTCCCCTCTTTGCCTCCAAGGACAAAGTTCTTTGTCTCCACAGACTCCTAAGTGCACCACTCACTCTTTTTCCCTCATCAATTCTATGATTCACCTCATCTTTCATAGACCCATCCGCTGACACGTCCACTCCCAAATATCTGAATACGTTCACCTCCTCCATACTCTCTCCCTCCAATCTGATATTCAATCTTTCATCACCTAATCTTTTTGTTATCCTCATAACCTTACTCTTTCCTGTATTCACCTTTAATTTTCTTCTTTTGCACACCCTACCAAATTCATCCACCAATCTCTGCAACTTCTCTTCAGAATCTCCAAGAGCACAGTGTCATCAGCAAAGAGCAGCTGTGACAACTCCCACTTTGTGTGTGATTCTTTATCTTTTAACTCCACGCCTCTTGCCAAGACCCTCGCATTTACTTCTCTTACAACCCCATCTATAAATATATTAAACAACCACGGTGACATCACACATCCTTGTCTAAGTCCTACTTTTACTGGGAAAAAATTTCCCTCTTTCCTACATACTCTAACTTGAGCCTCACTATCCTCGTAAAAACTCTTCACTGCTTTCAGTAACCTACCTCCTACACCATACACTTGCAACATCTGCCACATTGCCCCCCTATCCACCTGTCATACGCCTTTTCCAAATCCATAAATGCCACAAAGACCTCTTTAGCCTTATCTAAATACTGTTCACTTATATGTTTCACTGTAAACACCTGGTCCACACACCCCCTACCTTTCCTAAAGCCTCCTTGTTCATCTGCTATCCTATTCTCCGTCTTACTCTTAATTCTTTCAATTATAACTCTACCATACACTTTACCAGGTACACTCAACAGACTTATCCCCCTATAATTTTTGCACTCTCTTTTATCCCCTTTGCCTTTATACAAAGGAACTATGCATGCTCTCTGCCAATCCCTAGGTACCTTACCCTCTTCCATACATTTATTAAACAATTGCACCAACCACTCCAAAACTATATCCCCACCTGCTTTTAAACATTTCTATCTTTATCCCATCAATCCCGGCTGCCTTACCCCCTTTCATTTTACCTACTGCCTCACGAACTCCCCCACACTCACAAACTGGCTCTTCCTCACTCCTACAAGATGTTATTCCTCCTTGCCCTATACACGAAATCACAGCTTCCCTATCTTCATCAACATTTAACAATTCCTCAAAATATTCCTTCCATCTTCCCAATACCTCTAACTCTCCATTTAATAACTCTCCTCTCCTATTTTTAACTGACAAATCCATTTGTTCTCTAGGCTTTCTTAACTTGTTAATCTCACTCCAAACTTTTTCTTATTTTACAACAAAATTTGTTGATAACATCTCACCCACTCTCTCATTTGCTCTCTTTTTACATTGCTTCACCACTCTCTTAACCTCTCTCTTTTTCTCCATATACTCTTCCCTCCTTGCATCACTTCTACTTTGTAAAAACTTCTCATATGCTAACTTTTTCTCCTTACTACTCTCTTTACATCATCATTCCACCAATCGCTCCTCTTCCCTCCTGCACCCACTTTCCTGTAACCACAAACTTCTGCTGAACACTCTAACACTACATTTTTAAACCTACCCATACCTCTTCGACCCCATTGCCTATGCTCTCATTAGCCCATCTATCCTCCAATAGCTGTTTATATCTTACCCTAACTGCCTCCTCTTTTAGTTTATAAACCTTCACCTCTCTCTTCCCTGATGCTTCTATTCTCCTTGTATCCCATCTACCTTTTACTCTCAGTGTAGCTACAACTAGAAAGTGATCTGATATATCTGTGGCCCCTCTATAAACATGTACATCCTGAAGTCTACTCAACAGTCTTTTATCTACCAATACATAATCCAACAAACTACTGTCATTTCGCCCTACATCATATCGTGTATACTTATTTATCCTCTTTTTCTTAAAATATGTATTACCTATAACTAAACCCCTTTCTATACAAAGTTCAATCAAAGGGCTCCCATTATCATTTACACCTGGCACCCCAAACTTACCTACCACACCCTCTCTAAAAGTTTCTCCTACTTTAGCATTCAAGTCCCCTACCACAATTACTCTCTCACTTGGTTCAAAGGCTCCTATACATTCACTTAACATCTCCCAAAATCTCTCTCTCTCCTCTGCATTCCTCTCTTCTCCAGGTGCATACACGCTTATTATGACCCACTTCTCGCATCCAACCTTTACTTTAATCCACATAATTCTTGAATTTACACATTCATATTCTCTTTTCTCCTTCCATAACTGATCATTTAACATTACTGCTACCCCTTCCTTTGCTCTAACTCTCTCAGATACTCCAGATTTAATCCCATTTATTTCCCCCCACTGAAACTCTCCTACCCCCTTCAGCTTTGTTTCGCTTAGGGCCAGGAATCCAACTCTTTTCATTCATAACATCAGCAATCATCTGTTTCTTGTCATCCGCACTACATCCACGCACATTTAAGCAACCCAGTTTTATAAAGTTTTTCTTCTTCTCTTTTTTAGTAATTGTATACAGGAGAAGGGGTTACTAGCCCATTGCTCCCGGCATTTTAGTCGCCTCATACGACACGCATGGCTTACGGAGGAAAGATTCTTTTCCACTTCCCCATGGAAAATAGAAGAAAAAAAAAAGAACAAGAGCTATTTAAAAAAGGGAGAAAAACCTAGATGATGAAAAAATATAATATGCATTCGTGTCGTGAAGTTGACCAAAGTGTTAGTAGAGTAGAAGATACCCCTGTTATCTTAGCGTTTTTTTATGAGCAGAAAAAAAAACCGAAAACCTACCATCTGAAAAAATTTAGGGGGTTTTTGTTTCACAGTCATCTGGCGGGACGGTAGTACTTCCCGGGGTGTTGCTGTCTACCAAACCACCATTTAATAATCTTTTATTTAGATCTAGGGGCTTATCTGAAACAAATCTGTTTTAAACAATAGCATGCCCAAATGTTTTTACTATTTTTGTTCTTCTTACTAGTACCAGTTATTTACAACGTGCCAAAAGCATTAATACTTTGATTTTATCCTATATTTATATCAAATCTAACTTCCTGAAAAAAGGTAGTATGTGACCATGATCATAATTTTAAACCTATTCTGCATAAACAAGTGTAATATCACATTTTTTTACTTTTTGGATTACCTAGGGTTTAAAACCCCACATAATGTTCTTTTTTTGCCCATAACATTTTGCGTGAAGACCCATGTAGAAAAAATTTGTTTTATACAGTTTAAATTTAAAAAATTTTTTTTCTAAATAAGCTTCATTAGTAAGGCCTGCTAATGGTGCTTGACACAGTTTTTCAGTGTAATCAATATAGAAAAGGGGACCATTTATGCTTGACAAATATTATAACTTCACTCCAGTCATTCATCTCTTTCCTATCTTCTCCTTTAGAGTGCCCAGTACACTTAAAAGTAACAAAATAAGCTTACCTTTCCTTAAATTCCTTGTTCTTTCTTGCTTATTGCTATAGAGGTGTTTGAAGATGGTTAATATGACTTCCATAAACATGATTTTCTGCACTGGTGCAATAGCTGGCCAACTGAGAGTGAAAGACACAAATAGGTCACAAAATGAATATTGTAATCTGGCAGAAATGCAGTAGCTGGAGGTGCGATTAGAGGGGGTCTGTTGTAATTGTTATGAACATTAAGTAACATTTATTTCACACATTTTGATATGCCCCTGGTTATGTAGAGCATTATGAGCAGACTAAAACTACTTGACATTGTTTATTCGAAGTTAGATTATTTGCATGCTAAGCTTAATATACAGTAAAATCCTGAATAACATGGTGGTTATGTTCCTGAAAACCTGGCATTATACAAAATTATGTTAAGCAGACTGAAGAACCTGTGGGAAAATTAGGGTTGTGTTCTTGACACAAAATAAAAGCTGAACGAGTTTTGTAAATCATAAATCTAAAAATTAATAATTTTTCATTAAATGAATAAATAGATGACTGTAGTGAGGGGTAAATAATATGAAGTACATGTAGCTAAAAAGGGTACATAGAACAGTTATTCCTTATGTTAAATTCTGGTTGTTGTTACGTGTGATTATCTTGAAAAAGAAGAGGGTTGGTGTTGCCCTACTGGGCTGAGGTGGATGGCTGTAGCTCTTGGGATGATATCACAGCAAAGGTGTCAGTAGATGGGAATTGAGCTTCTCCAACATTTCTTCTACAGTTTGTTCTTTATCCTGTACAAGTTCATTGACATCTGCCTGCATGTCTTCAAAGTCCTCACTTACCAGATATAATCATTTCCTGAACCTGACTGTTTGTAAAGGGAAAAATCTGTGAAATTATTGACTACACTAGGCCATAATTTTCTTCATCCTTTATTTATTGTAGATTGTGGCACTTGATCCCATACATCTTTCACATTTGTTATTGAATCTTCAATGTTAAATTTATACTAGATACTTTGCATGCCAGTGTCTGCATTGTCATCCATTGCTATGAAGAGTTTCTCACCACCTTTTGGATGTGGTGGCACTTAAATGTCTAAAGATAAGATTATTAAATGTAAGAATTATTTTAAGTAACAGAGTACTGTATATTAAAAAAGCAAAGTTAATATCAAGAGATAGTAGTGCACAACTATGTTAACAATTTTAATTATAATTATTGAGGGAAGAAA